AATGACACTGCCCTAAATCTTTTTATAGATTGAAAACTTGATTGTTTTTAATATAGATGATTTTTATAATTGTTATGAATATTATTGTAGTAATACAATATCTATGCAAGATTTTGCTCATTTTGCTACAATACTTCTAAAAGCTTTGCCAGAAACGATATTTATTCTATTCTGTGAAGAAAAAATTCTTTATAATAAGATAGATACAAATATAATAATATCAAATACTCATATATTATTCTTTCCTTATTTATGGCTTAGTTATACAGGTTGAAGGCAATCGTTAATTAATTTGATTTCTGTATCAACTATCTATAATGATCGAGTTGAACACTTTTTAATTCACAGCTATGATGATAATAGAGTTCCAATCCATTATTCGTTTATCCGTTTATCCGTCGGATATCCGGATATCAAATAGATAATTGGATAAAATAGATTAACAGATGGATAACCAAATTATCTAATAAATTATTCAGATTGATGCAAGGAGTAAGTGTTAATGCAAGGAGTGCATATTGATCTAATAGTCGATCTAACGGTTGATGTAATGAGTGTTATATGATATAATGGTTAAGATCTAACAGTTGATCTAACGGTTGATCTAATGGTTGTTCTAATGGCTGATCTAACAGCTGATGTGATAGGTGTTATATGATATAATGGTTGATATAACAGTTGATATAACAGTTGATATAACAGTTGATATAATGGTTGATATGACGGTTGATATAATGGTTGATATAACGGTTGATATAATAGTTGATATAATAGTTGATATAACGGTTGATATAACGGTTGATATAATGGTTGATATAACGGTTGATCTAATGAATAGAATTTTGATAAGGCAGATGTTATATGAAGAAAGCAGAGAGAATTTCCAGATTTGTTAGCATATTCGATTTCTCAGATTACTGTTTTATTAAATGCAGATGAGTCTTCGAACTTATCATCATCCGTTTAATATGTTCTACTATTACTTTAATTATTTAATGGGTACGACTTCATAGTAAGACATTCGTCTGATTGGCTGATGTAAGTCAATTGCCCGGGTAACTTATTTATACAGTTTAAAGTATTTTTTAAGAATATAACGTTTTACTAACAAAAAATCATTGTAAAAGCCATCGAAAGAACGTCTATAACTGCAAAAATAATCAGTAACTCAAGAACTTCACTTAGAGGTGAATATTTTTACTATTTACTGTTATATTAACTATATGTAAGCTCTAAATGCTGGAAACAGTCAACAAAAAAAAAGAT